CTGTAATGAATATGCTTCTTTTCATTCATTGCTCACTCAGCCAGAATCAGAGAAATAACAAAAATTTAAGCTCAGCCAAGTAAATGAATTGCTGTCTCTCATTTTTTGATTCCTTACCCATTACTTCTAGGTAATAATATCTCAAGAATTGTGATGAAAGTAGAACACCATTATGCAATCAGTGCTTATCAAAATGTCTGAGAGAGTACTCCCGTCCACTGGATCACGCTCCAGATGCCTGCAACAGCTACCGCTGGACTGGGTCTGAAGCCAGGAGCTGAGAATTCCATCCAGGTCTCCCCTGTGAATGGCAGAAACCTAATGACTTGAACCATCTCTGTTGCCTCCCAAGATTGGCATTGGTGGGAAGCTGGAGTCAGAAGCCGGAGCTGGGAATCGAATCCAGGCACTCCAACATGGAAACATGGTCATCTCACCTGCGAATAACCCTCTGCTCCCTGTCATGATTGTTTTTTTAGCACTGCTCAACATTTATTCCTTTGTGACTTCAAGCAAGATGTGTAACTTTGTGATCCCTTATTTTTATTTTTAAAAATATTTGAGTGTGCATATAAAAATTCTACATATTTATGGAGCACTATGTGATGTTCTACTACATGTATATTTTGTAAAATGATAAATGTTTGAAGAAAAAATGTATTTACCCTAATTGGACATTATGATATACACATGGATTTTTTAAAGAGTATTTATTTATTCATTTGAAAGTCAGAGTTATAGAGAGAGGTAGAGACAGAGAGAGAGGTCCTCCATCCGCTAGTTCACTCTCCAGATGGCCACAATGGCTGGAGCTGCACCAAACCGAAGCCAGGAGCCAGGAGCTTCCTCTGGGTCTCCCACACGGGTGCAGGGGCCCTAGGACTTGGCCCATCTCCCACTGCTATCCCAGGCCATAGCAGTGATCTGGATTGGAAGAGGAGCAGCTGGAACTAGAACCAGCTCCCATATGGGATGCCAGCTCTTCAGGCCAGGGCTTTAACCTGCTGCACCACAGCACCAGCCCCATGGATTATTTTTTAAAATTAATCATTTGACAAATAATTCTTTCTTCCACAGAATGTCAAGTCTGCAGATGATGTAGGAAGGCATATAGGATAAAATTGATTAGATTTGTGTGCTGGAAGACAACCCCTTCACCATGCCCCCCATGTGACCTGACCATACCTGTGCGCCCACCTATCAGACTAATTACCCCCTCCCCTTTGGAAGTGAATTAAAGGCCTGAAACACGGTGGGCCTGGCCTTCTCACCCCTTTTTTCCTTTGCACCCTTCTTTTTCCTCCCTTCCCTTAATCCCCTTGTGGCCCTGCACCTTTGGGGCACATGGCCTTCATGCCACCTGCTCCATGCTTCCCGGCTTGCATGCTCCTCCATGTGGCTGGCTCCTGGTGCTCGGTATGAATCCAGATTTCCCTCTCTCTCTTTTTTTTTTGACAGGCAGAGTGGACAGTGAGAGAGAGAGACAGAGAGAAAGGTCTTCCTTTTGCCGTTGGTTCACCCTCCAATGGCCGCCGAAGCCGGCGCGCTGTGGCCGGCGCACCACGCCGATCCGATGTCAGGAGCCAGGAGCCAGGTGATCTGGTCTCCCATGGGGTGCAGGGCCCAAGCACCCGGGCCATCTTCCACTGCACTCCCTGGCCACAGCAGAGGGCTGGCCTGGAAGAGGGGCAACCGGGACAGAATCCGGCGTCCCGACCGGGACTAGAACCCCGTGTGCTGGCGCCACTAGGTGGAGGATTAGTCTAGTGAGCCCCGGCGTCGGCCCAGATTTCCCTCTCTTTTAGAAAGAGCCCTCACTGTCCTATGCATTTCTCTCACTGAATAAAAAGCTTAAAAATGGATCATGGCTGCCTGGTCTATTGGTGCTAGTATTAACCAATTCTAGTATTCAATTCTTCTCTGAATATGTGGCAAGAGCCCAGACAGATTTTTTTTTTTTTTGACAGGCAGAGTGGACAGTGAGAGAGAGAGACAGAGAAAGGTCTTCCTTTGCCGTTGGTTCACCCTCCAATGGCCGCCGCGGCCGGCACGTTGCGGCCGGCACACCACGCTGATCCGATGGCAGGAGCCAGGAGCCAGGTGCTTTTCCTGGTCTCCCATGGGGTGCAGGGCCCAAGCACCTGGGCCATCCTCCACTGCACTCCCGGGCCACAGCAGAGGGCTGGCCTGGAAGAGGGGCAACCGGGACAGAATCCGGCACCCCGACCGGGACTAGAACCCGGTGTGCCGGCGCCGCTAGGCGGAGGATTAGCCTAGTGAGCCGCGGCGCCGGCCCCAGACAGATTATTAATATGTATATATTAATAAGCAAATCGCTATTACAGATACCAGAAAATAAATTTCTATAACGTGCCAGGGGATTCCAATTGAATCCCATCAAGGTGGCATGTACCAATGCCATCTCACTAGTTCAAGTGATCAATTTCAGTTCACAATTGATCATACTGATAGGTCAAAGAGTCAAAGGGATCATATAAACAAGACTAGTGTCTGCTAATACTAACTGGGAGAATAAAAAAGGGAGAGAACGATCCAACATGGGAAGTGGGATACACAGAAGACACTCATAGAATGGCAGATGTCCTAAATAGCACTCTGGCCTCAGAATCAGCCCTTAAGGCATTCGGATCTGGCTGAAGAACCCATGAGAGTATTTTAGGCATGGAAAGCCAAGACACTCTGGCAAAACAAACAAACAAACAAACCCTAAATGGAAGATCCCTGCGAGTGAGATCCCAATAGAAAGAACAAGTCATCGAAGAAGGAGGTACCTTTCTCTGAAGAGAGGAGTGAACCTCCACTTTGACTACAACCTTGTCTAAAAAACATTGAAGTCGGCAAACTCAAAAGGTTTCCATAGCCTTGGCAACTCATGACTAGAGCCTAGGGAGATTGCTGACACCATAAACGGAGTGTCAATTTGTTAAGTCAACAACAGGGTTACTGTGTACTTACTCCTCATGTAGGATCTCTGTCCTTAATGTGTTGTTCAATGTAAATTAATGCTATAACTAGTACTGAAACAGTATTTTACACTTTATGTTCTGTGTGGGTGCAAATTGTTGAAATCTTTACTTAATATATACTAAATTGATCTTCTGTATATAAATATAATTGAAAATGAATCTTGATGTGAATGGAATGGGAGAGGAAATGGGAGTTGGGAGGGTTGCAGGCAGGAGGAAAGTTATGGGGGGGGGGAGCCATTGTAATCCATAAGCTGTACTTTGGAAATTTATATTTGCTAAATAAAAGTTAAAAAAAAAGAAAAGAAAGATCAATTTAGCATGTATTAAGTAAAGCTTTCAACAGTTTGCACTCACAAAAAAAACACAAAGTGAAAAATACTGTTTGAATATTAGTTATAGCATTAAATCACAATGTACAGCACATTAATGACAGAGATCCTACATGAGGAGTAAGTACACAGTTACTCCTGTTGTTGACTTAACAATGTGACACTCTTGTTTATGGTGACAGTAATCACCCTAGGCATTTGTCATGAGTTTCCAAGGCTATGGAAGCCTTTTGAGTTCGCCAACTCTGATAATATTTAGACAAGGTCATAATCAAAGTGGAAGTTCTCTCCTGCCTTCAGAGAAAGGTACCTCCTTCTCTGATGACCTGTTCTTTCCATTAGGATCTCACTCGCAGAGATCTTTCATTTAGGTCATTTCATTTTTTTTTTCCAGAGTGTCTTGGCTTTCCATGCCTAAAATACTCTCATGGGTTCTTCAGCCAGATCCGAGTGCCTTAAGGGCTGATTCTGAGGCCAGAGTGCTGTTTAGGACATCTGCCATTCCATGAGTGTCTGCTGTGTATCCCACTTCCCGTGTTGAATCGTTCTCTCCCTTTTTTATTCTCCCAGTTAGTATTAGCAGACACTAGTCTTGTTTATATGATCCTTTGACTCTTTGACCTATCAGTATGATCAATTGTGAACTGAAATTGATCACTTGAACTAGTGAGATGGCATTGGTACATGCCACCTTGATGGGATTCAATTGGAATCCCCTGGCACATTTCTAACTCTACCATTTTAAATTGATCTTCTGTATATAAAGATAATTGACAATGAATCTTGATGTGAATGGAAGGGGAGAGGGGGCAGGAGAGGGGAGGGTTGTGGGTGGGAGGGAAGTTATGGGGGGGAAAAAGGCCATTGTAATCCGTAAGCTGTACTTTGGAAATTCATATTCATTAAATAAAAGTTAAAAAAAAAAGAAAAATTTCTATAAAGTCTGACATCTGTTCATGTGACGAACTGATGTCATTATGCAGGGTAGTTGGAAGATGGTGTGGGTGGGTGGCAGGGGCAGCTTTTGGAAGTGGTTGATACCGTGCTCCTTCCTTCCTATTTCGCAAATGCTCACTGTCCCATGGCTACACACATTGTGACCACCTGTGTCACAACTCAAGCAAGTCCAGCAACTAAATTGAAGACAATGAGAGGGGGCTGGCCCTGTGTTGTAGTGGGTAAAGCCACCGCCTGCAGTGCCAGCATCCCATATGGGCGCCAGTTGGAGTCCCGGCCTCTCCACTTCCAATCCAGCTCTCTGCTGTGGCCTGGGAAAGCAGTATAAGATGGCCCAAGTCCTTGGGCCCCTGCACCCAGAAGAGGCTCCTGGCTTTGTATCGGCACAGCTCCAGCCATTGCAGCCAAATGGGAAGTTAACCAGCAGATGGAGGACCTCTCTGCTCTCCTGCTCTCTCTGTGTAACTCTTTCAAATAGATAAATAAATCTTTAAAAGAGAAAAAAAAAAGACAGTGAGGGAATCATCCAAATCTCAGGCTCACAAAAATTAGGTGGGAATGAAAGCTGAGAAAGGGAGGAGGGTGGTGACCCTCGGCACCCCTGTGAACAGGGCCTGCTCGTGGGCTCGGTGTCTGCCTGGCCTGCTCATTTCTACCCTGGTGACTGTGGGCAGGCGCTGATGGCACACAGAACCCGCTCTGCTCTCAGTGCACAAATTCACAGAGAAACATGAATGGATAACAACAGAAGATGGTATTGGAACAGTGAGAATCAGCAATTTTGCACAGGAAGTTTTGGGAGATGTTGCTGATTGTAGTCTGTCCAAAGTTGGGACAAAATTGAAAAAACAAGATGAATTTGGTGTTTTCGAAAGTGTGAAAGCTGCCTGTGAACTCTGTTCTCCTCTATCAGAAGTAACTGAAATTAATGAAGATCTTGCAGAAAACCCAGGACTTGTCAACAAATCTTGTTATGAAGATGGTTGGCTGATCAAGATGACACTGAGTAACCCTACAGAACTAGATGAACTAATGAGTGAAGAAGCCTATCAGAAATGCATAAACTCTATTGAGGAATGTGAGTGGAACCCTTATATGAACTACTATGGAATAACTTAATCCAGCACAGTTTTATCTTAAATTAGTGGTGGACAGGACTTAAAATAACATCTTTTAGCAATGTTGATGGGAAGAAATACTACTTACAACTCTGCTAGTGGAAGAAAATATCCCTAACTTTGTAATGATTGCAGATGAACACAGTATGCATTTTTTTCACAGTACCTTATGATTTTTATACTGAGCTCTAGGAACTAGTATTCAGAATACATGAAGTTATCTGTGGTAAAAACTAGTTATACAAATAATGTAATTCAAGGATACCATTGTTATCTTAAGCCTTATGCAATTTTTTTGAAGATTTATTTATTTATTTGAAAGTCAGGGTTACACAGAGAGAGAAGTAGAGGCAGAGAGAGTCTCTCTAGACAGAGTGGTCTTCCATCCGCTGGTTCACTCCCCATTTGGCCACAATGGCCAGAGCTGTGCTGATCCGAAGGCAGGAGCGAGGAGCTTCCTCCAGGTCCCCCATGTGGGTGCAGGAGCCCAAGGGCTTGAATCATCTTCTACTGCTTTCCCAAACCATAGAGAGCTGGATTGGAAGTGAAGCAGCCGGGTCTCGAATTGGCACCCATATGGGATACAGGCACTGCAGACGGAAGTTTTACTGGCTACTCCACAGTGCCGGCCCCAAGCCTTAAATAATATTGTAACTTTCTTATACTCAACCCTGGATTGGGGTCAAAATATGTAATAATCTTTCCATTTGAAGTAACTGGAATGCAGAGCAGTTTTTGTTAGTTGTACAGTGCCAGAAAAAAAAAAAAACAATAATACTATCTTAATTGTGCAATATACTGCATTTTCTGGTACTGTTGTATACAGTGAAGTAACAGCTCTACAGCAAATAAGAAGCATAATAAAATTTTCAACTTCCTCATTAAAAAAGATGAAGAAGAAAGGGAGGAGGGAGTTCAGGAGCTCACTCTCTCCTGCCTGGCTGTTCCTCTCACCTCAGTCCCAGCTTCTACCGCACATGTGCACTGTGGATTGCCCAGCACTCCAGAGTCCTGATCTGGCTCTTACCATGTTCATTAGTGAAATTTCATCACAGTTCAACAACCAAATACAAAATAAATCTATGAAGCAATGTCCCATATAAAAGCACTGATGGGTTGTGTTCTGTTCAACATGTGGGTGAACTGAATGAAACATGAAACACAGCATCAAGTTTACAAGTCTACCCAAAATTATGGTCACTACATGTATTCAGTGAATACATACAAACTTCTAATCCCTTGATATTTTGAGAAGAGCTCTCATGCAACTTGAACTCATAAGTGACAAGTATGAAATGCAGTGTTCAGTAACGTTACAAACAAAACAACACCATCCAACTTAGAGGGTGTCTGTCTGCTCTTCAGGTTCATGAAATGCCACCTTGTAGGCTTGTTGGGGGGAAAAGACACTGAGTGCTTCGAGAAGTGTATTAAGACAGAAAAGAAAATATTTTTAAATGAGTCACTTATTCACTTAGTGTTATACTCTGGTTATACTATACTATACTATACTATACATTTAATGGATATACAAAAACTGCAGAAGACCCAGAGAATAACATCATGGATGCTTAAAATTCAGCATCTCTCTTGGGTGGAAAAGCCTTGTTATCTATTTTAACAACTTTGGGGGTGACTTCTTGACAGTCTCTAAGAAAACAAAATCCAGGAAACTGTTTCTACCTTGATGTTTCCATTACATAAACAATGAACAATGAGAAATATGCTATTGAGATTGGCAGTTGAGTGGGTGGTGACCTACAAAAGAAACCAGGAGTTCTTGGACATCAACCTGACCTAGGCAACTTGAAACCAGGGCTCGATCTCAGGCTCTCCGATTATGGGATGCTGTTGTCCTAAGCAGTATCTTAACAATTATACCAAATGCTCTTCTGTTTCTTAACATATTTTTTCACTTGAAGAAAATCCTTGAATTATTTTAATATTAGATATTAAAGAAATTGTGTTTTAATGTTAAAGAAAACGTGGGTGACTTCTTGAAAGCCTAGAAGAAAGTAAAACTTGTTGGGAAACTATTGCTGCCTTGATGTTTTTCTCCACATATAGAATGAACAATGAGGAACATGCTTAGATGTTGAGGAAAGGAATATGCCTATGCTATCTGCATCAGGGTCCACAACTATTGAGACTGAGAGATGAATGTGTTGGCGCCATCATTGGTGACCTCCAGAAGGGACCAGGAAGCCTTGTGCATCGCTTGACTTAGGCAAATGGAAGGCAGATGCTCTTAGGATTCCAAGACATTCTCCACCTTCCAATTCTGTTATAGCAACTGCAGACTGTTACCAGGTACACAGGACCCTACCTCCCTCACTCCCTTCAGGGTCTGAGCTATAGGCAGTGCCTTCAGCTCTGGGCTCTGGCACCTTTATCCTTGTTTGTGCGATTAAGGACTTTCAAGTGTTGGTGGACTTAGGTGTGGATCAAAGTGTTTCTCAATAGTAAGTTAATAATGACAGTTATTGTCATTCCCCTGTCCTTATTACACCTATTTGACTTCATTTGTTTTAATCTATCATGTGTTTGGGTTTTTTCTCCCCAGTCCTTGGTTCTACCTCTGCTGTCACAAACATCAGCATGGCAGGATCTCGTTACCCTTCATCTAATCCAAAAATAAATCTCCAAGAAATGAGCCAGGATTTGCACTTCCAGCTGACAAGGAACCAAAAGGACTTCCAAAACCTCAAAGAGAAGTATCTTATATATGAGGCCATGGCCTATTCCCTGGCCAACCAGTTGAAGAAACTTAGTAAGTTCTGGACATCACCATCATCAAAGCATCTTCTCTCTGAGAAACAACATGCTCTCCATACTTGGTTTTCTCTTCCCTTTATCAAAACTACTTTCTTCCTTACATATTCCTGGGAAGGTGAAAGTGAATAGTTACCTTCCATTTGCTGCAGATGGAAAACTGAGACTCAAAGAGTGTAGCAACATTTCCAAGTTTGCAGCAAGGTGATATGAGAGCTGGAATGTCATGTACTAATTCCTGGTGCAGGCATGGAGCTCCTGTTTTTCTCAGGATCAATCTTAAACACTTTTATTAGCCCCTCTTGTATCAGCTGCTGCAGGCATGTAACATCACTGAGTCTCCCGTCTGGAATTAATGAACTTCCACTCAGTTCAAGCTTCTATTGAGTTCTGATTGGTAAACCACTGTCTGGTTACACTGCGGGTAATGTGGTGAGAGTACACAGGATCTCCTTGGTAGAGCTAAGAAGGAGTCTGCTGTCCACTGAGACAGTACCATCTGTAATATTGTCAAGAACAAGGACTATCCTGGTGAGGGAGAAGCTCTTCTTCCTGAACAGAAAGAAAGCCGCTGAGATCTTGCTGTGGTAGTACAGTACAGAGTGTAGCTCAGGGGACTCTGGGCCACTCCCCTGGTCTCCAGTCCCAGTTGTCCATATTCCCTAAGTCTTAGCTTCCTCGTCTGTTCATATGATACCATCACAGTTCCTACCTCTGTAAATTGTTGTAATGAAAAACAAGAAGCATTTCTTATAAAAGTCCAAGGAGTAAACATAATCCATTAGTTCCTCATTCTATTATTTCTAATTTAAAAGAAACTTCATTAATCTTTGTGTATATTTCCTTGAGGCCTGTAAAGTGTTGTATATTATATTTTACACAAATTATGCAGATGTGGTTTTTTAAAGATTAAAGGTTCCCAACATTTGAAACCTTGAAATTTCTAGCACAAGGGAACCATTAATCCCATCCTCCTGGGAACCTTGCCAACCACACAGATATCACTACTCCATGCTCCAGTTAGGGTTTGACTAAGCCTTAAGGCTTAGAAATTACAGTGGCTCATGATTCAGTCAGAGCTCAGGGGAAGGGAATTCTATCAATCAAATTCCATTGAAATCACCTTTGTCAGGTCAATCTATGTGCCTTTGAACTCTTCTCACCTCTAAAATGAGGATTAATAGATGCCATGAAGTTCAGAGGCGGAAAATGAAGACATGAAAATTCCCACACAGAACCTCTCCCTGGGCTACTTTAATGCCCTGAAGGCAGTGACCACACATGTCCAGCTGTCAACTGAGTTCAGCATTGCTATCTTTCCTCAGAGTGTGAAGAGAGTCAAGAACTCATCGAGTCCGTGCTGAGGAGGCCACAGTCTGAGCAAGAGCAGGTGGCAAAGAATCCTACACCTGCTGAGATCCTCAGGTAAGGGGACCCTGTGCAGGGCAGGCAGGTGGGAAGATGCCTGAATCTTTAAAGTGGGGCAGCTCAGCTGGGAGAACTGAGAGCTAACCTGGGCCAGAAGAGTGGCAAGAATTTACAGGGTGGACACATATCTCACAAATATTTATGAAACAAGTAGAAAACAAAGAAAATACTAAGTTAGGACCCACAGGTATTACTCAGAGCCTCATTTTCCATTTTTAAGACCAGCATTTTATTGAGTTGAAATTCATGTGAAATAAATCAAAGGAAAGTGAAGAATTCAGTGACATTTAGTATTCTCAGAATGCTGTGTAATCACTACATTTTTTTAACAACTCTTTGTACACTAGTATTATTATGTTAGGGGTTTGATTTAGTGAGGACAATTTTTGTAAATCTACATACCAAAGAATATTACATACACATGCATACACACTAACTTCCACATATGAGAAAATTTGGTATTTGTCTTTCTGTCTGATGTTTTTCACTCAGCATAATGATCTCCAATCCCATCTATTTTTGTTTCAAATGTCAGGATTTTATTCTTTTTATGGTTAAGTCATATTCCAATGCATATTGCATTATATACTCTTTCGTATTCTTACTTAATTTCCTTTAGGTATATTCCTAAAAATAGGATAGCTGGTAATATGGTACATTCATTTTTAGTTTTTTGAGGAATGTCCATACTGTTTACTATAATGGCTATATTAGTCTGCACTCCCACCAGCAGTGTATTAGTGTCCTCTTTTCTCTTCAACCTTGCCAGCATTTGTTATGTTTTTATTTTAGCCACTCTAACTGGAATGAGATGATACCTCATTGTGGCATTTGTTTACATTTCCCTGGTGACCAGTGACTGAGCATTCTTTTCAAGTATTTTTGGCCATTTGTATATCTTCTTTTGAAAGATGTCTATTCAGATCCTTTGCTCATCTCTTAACTTGATTGTTTTGTTGTTGTTGGATTTCTTGAGCTCCTTATATATTCTGAGTATTAATCCTTTAGCAGATTCATAGTTTGCAAATATTCTTTCCCATTTTGTCAGTTGGGTCTTCACTCTGTTGATTGCTTCCTTTGCTGTGTAGAAATTTTTTAGTTTGAGATAATTCCATTTGCCTATTTTTCCTTTAATTGGCTTTGCTTTGGGGGTCTTATTGTCATACCCATGCCCAAGTCTTGGAGTATTTTTCTCAAGTTTTCCTGCAGCAGCTTCATAGTCTCAGGACTCTATCTTTAGATCTTTGATCCATTCTGAGTTGCTTTGGGGGTGTAAGTTATGGGTCTTGTTTCAAACTTCTGCAGGTTGAAACCCAACCTTCCCAATACCATTTATTGAAGAGGTTGTCCTTCCTCAGTGTTTTTAACATTTTTGTCAAAGATTAGTTGGTCTCAGATGCATGGACTTATTTCTGGGTTTTTTATTCTTTTCCAATGGTCTCTGTGTCCATCTTTATCCCAGTATCATGACATTTTGGTTACAGTAACCCTATAATATGTTTTGAAATCTGGTAATGTAATGACACCAGATTTAATTTTATTGTGCAAATTTTTTTGGTTATTTGTAATCTTTTGTGTTTTCATATTTATTTTGAGATTGGTTTTTCTGATTCTTTGAAGAATGTCATTGATGGGAATTGCATTGATTCTGTATATCATTTGGGATGGGATGGATATTTTGATAATATCAATTCTCCCAATCTATGAGATCAGAAGTCTTTCCATTTTTGTGTGTCTTCTTAAATTTCTCTCATTATTGTCTTGTAATTTCAATTTTAGATGTCTCTCACATCCTCAGTTAAATTTATCCTAAAGCATTTAATATTTTTGTAGCTGTTATGAATGGGATTGCTCTTATAAATTCTTCTCAGGAAAATAGTTGCTGGTGCCACTGATTATTTATGTGTTGATTTTGTATCCTACAACCTCACTGAATTCATTTATCAGTCCTAGTAGTCTCTTGGTGGAGTCTTTTGGCTACTCCTTTATAAAAAAATCGCATCATCTGAAAACAAGCATAATTTGACTTTCTCCTTTTTTAAACTTGTATGCCTTTTATTTTTTCTCTTTCCTATTGTATCTGCATAAAACTTCCAGAACTATATTTAATATAAGAGTGAAAGTAGACATCTTTGTCAGGTTCTAGATCTTAATGGAAAGGCTTCCAGCTTTTCTCATTTGATATGATGTTGACCATGAGTCTCTCACACACATCTTTATTATGCTGAAGTGTGTTCCTTCCATACATAATTTGTATGGTTTTCATAATGAATGAGTGCTGTATTTTATCAAATTCTTCCTAAGCACCTATTGAGATGACCTTATGGTTTTCATTCTTCATTCTATTGATGTGATGTATTTTTTGCATGTATTTATTTTCATATGTTGAACCATCCCTGCATCATTTGTAGAAAACCCACTTGATCAGGGCAAATGACCTTTTTTATCTTGTTGGATTTGATTTGCTAATGTTTTGTTAAGGATTTTTGCATCTATATTTATCAGGGATATTTATATGTAGTTTTCATTTTCTGTTTTATCCTCATCTGGTTTTGAAATTAACATAATTATGACCTCATAGAATAAGTTTAGAGAGATTCCCTTATTTTCAATTGTTTGCAATAGTTTGTGAAAAAATGGTATTAGTTCTTCCCTAAAAGTTTGTTAGAACTCAGCATTGAAACATTCTTGTCCTATACTTTTCATTATTGCAAAGTTCTTTAATACTGATTCAATCTTGTCACTGGTTATTCATCTCTGGTTTTCTATGTCTTCAAGATTCAATTTTGGTGACTTATAAGATTCCAGAAATTGCTCCATTTATTCTAGTTGGTATATAGTTGTTCCTAATAATTCTTTTAATTTCTGCAGTATTAGTTGTATCTCTTTTTCATCTCTGATCTTACTGATTTGGGTCTTCTCTTTTTCTTAGAATGATTTTTCAACTTTGCTTATCTTTTCAGAAAACCTAATCTTCATCTCATTAACATTTTGTATTTTTAAACTTTTATTTGTTTATTTCTTCTCTGATTTTTATTCTTTTCTTCCACTAATTTTGGGCTTGATATGTTCTTGCTTTTCTAGGTCCTTGAGACATATTAGTGATTATTTATTTGATGTGTCTGGGTTTTTTGGTGTAGGAACTTATTGTTATAAAATTTCATCTTAGAATGGCTTTTGATGTATTGTGTTTTGATATATTGTTTTATTTTGATATTGTGTTTTATTTTGATATTGTGCTTCTATTTTCATGAGTTTCAAGAAATTTTTTAATTTCCAGGAGCATGTTATTCAGTCTCCAAACATTGTACAATTTCTAGAGCTTCTTTTATTGTTAATTTCCAGTTTTACTCTCTTGTCATCAGAAAAGATACATGAAATGATTTCAATTTTTTTATTTTGTTATGACTTATTTTGTTCCCTAGTGTATGGTCTATGCTAGAGAATGTTCCACATGCTAATGAAAATAATGTGTATTCTGCAGCCATGGAATGGAATGATATACAAATATCTATCAAGTCTGTAATATACATTAAATTGCATTGTTTTGCTAAATTTTGTTGGTATGGTTGATCTTCCCACTGATGAAAGTAGAATGTTGAAGTCTTCCAGTATTATTGTATTGGAGCTTATGTCTCACTTTGATCTACTAACATTTATTTTATAAAAATCAGGTGCCCCAGCATCAGGTGCATATACATATAAATGGTCATGTCATCTTGCTGAATTTATCATCATATAGTGTCCTTCTTTGTCTTTTAACAGTCTTTGTCTTGAAATCTATTTTGATTTTAGTCCTGGTTAGCCTCCACATATAGTCTCCATGTACTTTTCTTTGTTAGAGTTGATGGTAGCAGTAATAGGGACCTGGGGTGCTCCTGGAGCCCAGGGCAGTTGCTGGAATCTTTCTCACACAGGTCCCTAGCCATTTCCTGAAAGTGGGACTAGAGTCAGGAGCAACAAGCAGAACACTAACCTTGAAGGGCCACAGAAATCTGGTGGCTTCCAGGGGAGGTACTGGAGCTCCAATCCCTGTTCTTGTCCCAGGAAGGGCACAGAAATCCTGGCCTACAGCCCCAAGAAAGAATACTAAATGATAGGCTGCTCCAGACTGGAAAGCCTAGGCAGCTGATTATGGGCGGGGCAAGAGCCCAGAATGATGGCTCAGATAGTCAAGGCACAGAAACTCCAGCTACTGTCAATGAGGGGCCTATTGCTCTGAGGGGTACAGAGCTTGATCTTTTGCTGTGCTGGTGTTGAGAGCAGGATAGGGATACTGTCCAGTGAGCACACTGTCCAGAATGTGTTCACCTTCTCGTATATGCACTGTCCAGAGCCTGAGCACATTCCTGAGTGCACACTCAGACACTACTGCAGGAACCGTCCTTAGTGCCCAGATAACTCTGAACCTAGGTAGGGGCAGATCAGGTGGAGCTATAAAAACCGTGGCCAAATCCCACTCTGCACAGGTTCCAGCAGCAACAAGCCATGTTTCACATGGGCAGGAGAAGGGAGGCAGTGGGGAGGATGATGAATCTCAAATCTGATGGGGCAGTCCTACTTCTAGGGATCCAGCAGCTGCCCTGCTCCCACTCTCCCTCGAGATGCAGAGCACTGTGTGGGCAAGATATGGGGGTCATCTCTTGCTCTGTTGGGACACCTGGACCTGTAAGGCTCAGTCTTCCTTGGTAGACTACAGAATGTCCATGGGGCACCTGGAAAGGACATATACAAGGGCTTTTATCTCTTAGACTGAATGGCTTCTGATGGTGACACCTGTCTCAAGATGGTTCCACACTTCACAGCCTGTGCTCTCAGGGTTGAGGGGAGAGGACACTGTGCCTGTGATGTCTCCAAGGAGCTCTGCTTATTGAGCTTCTGGTCTGTGGTGACTAGATTCCTCTCTAGTAGGGCTCGCCCACATAAGTTTTCCATGCACATGGATTCTGCTTGCACTCTCCTACTTACCCTTTCCCCCTGCAACAAGGACTCGCTTCAGCCATGGAGCTAGGAATCCAGCTGCTGGTTGGTTTTCTTCCTCCTTCTGTGCTGCTGTGCCTGGTCTTGGTGTCTTATGTCCCCACTGCTCCTTTACTGTGTTCAGGTGTGCTTCCTTTGGCATTCGCCTCAAGCTGTGGCTGCTTTGGGTCTTTTAAGTGGTGGAGGTGGCAAACACCGGGTTTTCAATTCATTCATGTTAAAACCAATTCTCATTTACTGTATCACAATCACCTCCTAACAGGATGTTGTCTTAGATTGGCCCTGTCGATCTCTCATTCTTTCTTCTTTCCAATTAACCCCAGTTGTGCCTGGCGTATTTCTGTGTATGCATTTGTGCCCAGTCACTGCACAATGCACTATGTCTGCTTACATGGGAGTGCCCATAGTCAAAATGAGGAACTGAAGTAGCATCTTTGTGAAGGAGATAAAGGAAGACTCTTGGCTTTTTTTTTTTTTTTTTTTTTTTTTTTTTTTTTTTTTACAGAAAACAAGATGAGGTGAATGAGGTAAATGCAAAGGACTCTGTAAGATCTCTCTCTAATACAGAGAAGGCCCTTATTTTTCCTTTCTTTGACAAAGGCATCTCCCAAAATATGAGTAATGATGCTGGTTGAAGGATCTAGGAGAGCATTGTCACCAAAATCTGTTGAACACAGAGAACTTACTGCCCATCCCTTTCCACTGTTGAATTTTATCTACTATCCTGCGTAGGAAACACAATGTCCTAATTCAAGACCAGGACCGAGAACTGAGACAGTTACACCAGAAGTTACAAGAAGGGAGAGTTATGTCTCAGATACTCCTTCATCTTCTCAAGAAGCTCCTCACCCAGCAAGACCCTAACAACCGCCAGGGGCAGGATTACCAACGACGACTAGCTGAGATAATCAGGATGACAGAGCGCCTTGTTAGGATGCTTGACCCAGGTAAGGTGGCCACAGGCTCTGATTATGGAAAGTGTCAAATTTACTGCAGTCTCCACATCTCTGCACAAGGCATTTTCTACTACATGTCCGTGGCCAGAACATAATCAAGACTTACTGGGTAGGAACAGAGCTGAGAAATGCACAGATTTGAAGGTCCAAATCTCACTTCTCTGATGCACCTGGGCTTTGGAGCATGAGGCAACGTCTATTCAGTTACAAAGGACACAGAAAAGAGATTGTATGGCAGCTTTTTAGATTGAAAAAAGGCCCTGGTCTACAGCCATACCACTCTGAATACATCCAATCTCATCTGAAAAGAGCTCCCTGGACAAAGAGTGGAAACTCCCAACTCTGTCCTCAGTCCTATCATTACAAACCCTGGACAGGTAATTGCTTTATCCTTCATGGATTTTGCCTCGTCATCTGTAAAATGGACTCAGGAATCTCTTTTGTGGATGTAGCAATCAAATGTGGGGACAGTTACTCATGTATTTCAAAATAGGATCAATTCCCTTGCTGTGCCATGTCAGATCAGTACCGGAAGTAGAACTTGGCAACAGGAAAGTTACTGAGACTAGAACATTTTCAGTGGAGAGAATTTCCCTTTATAACACAACAGAAGCTAACTTGGATGTACTGTGAAGTCCCCTGAGGTATGAAGAAGTGTGGGATAGGGTTGTTTGTCTCCTTAAAAAAAGTAGATCCTATGTGAATCCCCTTAAGAATCAGAACCTGTGCCTGACAAACTGATACCCATTTCTGTAGGACCTGCACAGGAGCCACCTGTCAGACTTTTGTCTCTTGTCACTTGCAATGATAAAATTGTTGTTTCTAAATATTGTCCCTGGAGTTCTATACCTATTGATACCCTTTCCTATATGTCTGGAAAGGTAGTGAGCCTGGCTTTGCTGTGCTCAGTCCCATTCTCTGTCTCCATTAAACTGGTTTGTCTTTGCTAAGCAGACATCTCAAAATCAAGACTTATACACTTCTTACATCTACCTTACTTGTATGTTGCCAAGAAGCAAAGTTGGGGCCTGGAAATTCCCCACCCTATGAATGCCCAGTGTTTCTTTGTAACACACATAACACATTTTTATGCAAAGGGTTATAGAATACATCAAGTTCTATGAATAAATTCTTTTACCATGAACAACAACACCTGATGATACAGGTCAGTATTGCAACAATACTTCTACAAAATATTTAAAACAATTCCCAAGGATGTTGCAAAAAGAGGTATATTTACATGATGGTCTGTGCAGGGACAGAGGACATGGTGGTGATAATCTGTCCTATCAGGGTAATTTGCCACAAGGCACAGGCAAGCAAACCCAGCAACTTGTCACAAGTCTCAGCCAGAGCCTTGGAGAATGTCTCTCACAGTATCCTGTTATTACACAAAGTATATTGACACTCCTGTGCAAAATTGAGGTACAGTGTTTGGCATGTATAAAGTGGGATACAGTGTATGTCACTGGTCTTCTCAATTTATTTGCAGAAAACAAAAATGATCCCGAAGAGATGAAAGGAGATCGATTTGCCCCCAGGTAATTTGGAAAAAGCATAGGCTGTTAATTCAGTGGTGACATCTGTAGAACTCATATCCAGGCATCACCAAAAAGTGCTGGACCTACCTATTTCTTTTTTTTTTAAGATTTATTTATTTACTTGAAAGTCAGAGATAGAGAGAGAAGGAGAGGCAGAGAGAGAGAGAGAGAGAGAGAGATCTTCCATCTGCTGGTTCGCTCCCCAGATGGCTGCAACAGCTGGAGTTGTGCCAATCCGAAGCCAGGAGCCAGGAGCTTCTTTTGGGTCTCCCACATGTGTGCAGGGGTCCTAGGTCTTGGGCCATCTTCTACTGTTTTCCCAGGCCATGGCAGAGAGCTGGATCAGAAGTGGTGTACCCGGGATTAGAACCAGTGTCCATATGGGATGCTGGCACTGCAGGCAGGGGCTTTATCTACTATGCCACAGTGCCAGCCCCTGAACCTACCTATTTCATCCACTTAGCCAAACACAAAATATCCTCTTGAAAAAAACTGTTCTGTATTTTCTTCGTGGTATTTGTGTATTTTGCCATTTTGTATTAACATCTCAAGTTTAGTCCATAAAATCAGTCAACTTGGAATATAATCAACCTTACAGATTAACTAAAAATACCTGAACTTCTCTGTTATTATTATAAGCCCAAAGTGAGGAGTTTTATGCCTGTTTGGCATTAGCATGTTGTCAAGGAACCCACAACAAGAAAATTAGGAAGACAAAAAAAAACAATATTATATCATGTCACAATCCTGAGGGAAAGAGAACTTAATAGTACAATATATCTAGGATAACATAACGTCTCAAATGTGTATTTCATTGCTTACTACATGAAAAATTCAATGTCATTTAAGAAAAAGGGATAAACCCATTATGATAGAATCTACTTTAAACTATGATTGCACTAGATTACATACCCAGTATCGATGCTTAAATGGCAGAAAAATTGGCCAATTCACTGAGCACCTAATCCTCTCTCTGTGTACATCCCCTCTCCTCTCTACACTCTTCAGTCTGCAATTTTCCTCTCACTACACCATGCCAGTCACACTCTGTTGCATACAAAAGAATATGGCATTTACTTCATAAAATGAGTTCTCACATTTGCTCTAAGAGACCACCTCTATGTATACCATCAAATCAAACTACGGTGCTGTAGCATCTGACCCATGCTCCTTGCTACTTCACTGGGCTCAGCCCAAAGCTTCCTCCAGTGGAAGATCCCAAAGTCCTATGGGACTCCTTGGCTAGATACTTTGTGCCTCCAATCCTTCCTGGGCAGTCTGATTTCTTTTGTTAAGCTTTTATTTATTGGAACCAGTGTTGTGGCATAGTGAGTAAAGCCACTACCTGCAATGCCAGCCCTGGCTGCTCTACTTCTGATCCAGCTCTCTGCTATGGCCTGGGAAAGCAGTAGAAGACAGCCCAAGTCCTTGGGCCGCTACACCTGTGTGGGAGACCTGGAGGAAGCTCCTGGCTCCTGGCGTCAGATCAGCCCACCTCCGGCCATTGTAGCCATCTGGGGAGTAAACCAGCGAATGGAAGACCTCTCTCTCTCTCTGCTTCTGACTCTCTGTATCTCTTCCTTTCAGAGTTAAAATTAAAGACAGAGGGAGATAAAGAGAGAGAGAGGTGTTCCATCCACTGGTTCACTCCCCAGATGGTCTAAACTGCCGGAGTTGGGCTGATCCAAAGCCAGGAGCAAGGAGCTCTTCCAGGTCTCCCATGCCAGTGCTGGTGCCCAAGTACTTGGGCCATCTTTTACTGCTTTTCCAGGCCATAACAGAGAGTTGGATAGGAAGAGGAGCAGCCAGGACTACAACCGCCGCCCATATGGGACGCCAGCTCTGTAGGCAGAGGCTTAGCCCACTATGCCACAGTGCCTACCCCAGCATCTAATTTCTATCAGCTGAACACAGGAGCCTCACACTCATCGAATAAATAGAAGTAGCTTTTGGCGGTTGATGTAGGCAGTGAATACCCCATTGTGACAAGTGGTAAGGCTGCCACTGATAGCCAGCAATATCCTTGCACCATTCGCTTCCTTGGGAACTAAGAGATGTCACTGAAATGGGATGGACCCATAAATGTTGATTGCATATGACCCCAAAATCTAGTTTGTAGTACAGACTTGGGATGGAACAGCCAGCTTTGTTGTCTTCCTATTGTTGGATATGCCCTTGGCACTTTGGTTGCGTTGTCAGGTCATTTGATTCAGAGCAGGTGTGATAAATTCACACCGGCATATGTAGTACATGCCCAGGAGCTGTCTGCAATGCATCCTTGTTTGAATTATGTCTGTGGCCACCTGCTATGTTGCTCATAATTTTCATTCACCAACTGCGTCCTCTGATAGTTTATGCCTGCCAGAGCTAGTGGCAAGCTAGTCTCCATTTCTGTCAAAGATGTTTCCCCTTTCACTGAGCCTGGTCCCATTGTCTGTCTCTTAATTTCACCAGGCAGACAGGCAACAAGCCTGAGGGTTGTCACCCAGAGATTCCATAAGTAGCCAATGTTTCTGTGCAGCTGCAAAGATTTATTTTGATACCAGGATTTGTGGACTTCACCATCTAACCCCAGTGTATAAAATCCTGTAATTCAGAAACAGACTGGGTATTTGATGAGAGAAGATTCAACACTACACTCTGCCCCCCTAGAAAGCAGTCAGACTGGTACCCAGGAGTCTCTGGGAAACCATTTTACTCAGCCTTTGTATAGACCCAGGACAAAGCATAATGTGCAGGCTCATCCTGCGAGGCCCGCACACTGTGGGATTGTAGGGAGACGGTGTTCCTTGACAAGAAGCACCGGAGACAAGTTTGGGTGAACATGTCCATTTTATTAATGATCACTCACACTTTTTAAAGGGCAGGCAGAGCTGGCGCCGCAGCTCACTAGGCTAATCCTCCGCCTGCAGCACCGGCACACCGGGTTCTAGTCCCGGTTGGGGCACCGGATTCTGTCCCTGTTGCTCCTCTTCCAGGCCAGCTCTCTGCTGTGGCCAGGGAGTGCAGTGGAGGATGGCCCGAGTGCTTGGGCCCTGCACCCTCATGGGAGACTAGGAGAAGCACCTGGCTCCTGGCTTCGGATCAGTGCGGTGTGCCAGCCACAGCGTTCTGGCCACAGCGGCCATTGTGGGGGTGAACCAACGGAAAAGGAAGACCTTCCTCTCTGTCTCTCTCTCTCTCACTGTCCACTCTGCCTGTCAAAAAAAAGGGGGGGGCAGGCTGAAGGGGTGTAGCTAATTCAGGGCAACACTAATTCTATAGGATGAAGCTGATATTGGCACCGCTATGCTTCTCCAATCAACTTGAAGGCCACATAACCTAGTAGCTTCCCAGGTGGGCCTGGGCCACACCTGGGAGCAGCTTATCTGATTGGCGGGGGGTGGGGGGTATGCCTGGGGCTCCTGCCCCACCTGCCAGCAGTCAGGTTAACCCCCTGTATGGGCAGTCTCCCAGCCAATATTGGAATGATGACTTAGTGATAGCTCAATTGAAAGACCTCTAAGACATGACCTCAGACCTCTTGGAATATTCCTGTCCCAGGATTATGGACTGACAGGATTCTGGACTGATTCAGAGAAAGACAGTTGATGTGCCTGTGTTAGGATTAGACAATGTTCAGACATGTGTGAAGGGGGATCTGCTTACTGTGTGACCAGCCCTGTTTGAATTTATTTGCAGAAAACAACATTGATCAAGTGGAGGAAGTCCAAGCCCTACCATTAAGCAGGTAACTGTTAATAATCGTGGACAATGAGTTCAGTGTGGACATCCTCAGACTGCAGATCCAGGATCAAGTGCTAATGCCCAATGTACATCGTCTATCCCTTCAGCCAGCCATGCAGTAGCTCTGTCAGCACTGCTGCTCTTCACATTTTGGTGCCAGTATAGTTTTCCACTTGTCCTCCTTCCATTTAGCAACCTGCAGTAGGCTGACTCGGGTCAATCAGCCTTTCCAGAATTTCCTGCAATCACTGCTTCTCTCATGAGCAGGGAAAAGCAGGACAATGCACATAAATCTTCCTCCTTCTCAGCAGCAATGTGCAGCATTTTAGCTACATGAAAAGACACAAAAAATTGAGAACATGTCACATCACTGAGAAAAGAGGCCTGCGGCCTAAAGCTCTGGAGCTCTACAATATCCCAAAACAAGAATTTACTCTTGCCTATAAAATTCAACACGTTTCAGACACATTTGTGGACACCAGCTTTAGTATCCCTTACCAAGAGTGTCATTTCTCATTCTTGAGTCTCTACTATGTCCTATTCACAGAGCACCTTGCATCTCCCTCTCTCTCTCTCTCTCTCTCTCAAATGTAGAAAATAATTGAAAATTATGGCCACAGGTCTCAATGGGATTTTTAGCATCATGGAGAAACTTCAGTTCATAATCTAGGAAATTCATTCGCCTTTTCAACCAGGTTTCTATTTCATATTTCTCCCACCTCAAGTGTAGAAAGCCCATTTCCCCTTTCTTTGCTGTTTCTTTCTTCTCATACTCAGTGGGGGGAGGGTTTCACAGCCCTCTTCTCTCTGTACCTACACATTTTAACTGACTTACCTACTGTTTTAATTACCAGACATACAGTGATGGCTCAAGGATTTATTTCTTCTCAGAAACCTAGATTTGTATACCCAAGAGCCTACTCAACAGTTCCCCTTGTTGTCCAATAGTCACATCAAATTCAATGTAGCCAAAACAGACCTCTTTTTCCCACACCAAAAGCCTGCTTCTCCCCCCATCATTGCCATTTCACTTGCTGTTTCTCAAACAAAGCATTCAGAAGATATCCTTGTTTCCTTTCTTTCACTCAACTGTCCCCAACAGCATACACCAACAGCATCTGTAGACTTCATAATGGATGAATGAAAATACTTATTTCTGTTTTTAAAATTTATTTTTTTTATTTATATGAGAGGTAGAGAGGGCAAATTCCTGTCTTCTCATTCACTATTACAAATTCCCACAATGACTAGGGCTGGGCTGGGCCAGAGCCAGGAGCCAGGAACTCAGTACAGGCCTCCTGCATGAGTGGCAGGGACCCAAAGACTTGAGACCTACTGCCTTGCAGGGTATCACCAGCAGGAACCTGGGATTGAGAGCAGAGCTGGAACTCAAACCTACACACTCTGATATGAGAGCAGGTATTCCAACACCAGCGGCTTAACAGCTAGGCCCAGCGCTCTCCTCGAAGCTGATATCTTGAGGCCTGCACAGCCATGATCTCAGTCCATGCTCCCATCCTTCGTCTCACTCAGACTTATGGAGAAGACTGCTCCCATCCGTGGCCCTGGAGATCTATATCCTTCAACTGCCAAAACACATATGCTTCCCAGGGCTGGGACTGCTGTGCAGGAGGTAAAGCTGCCACTTTTGATGCTGGCATCCCATAATAAAGTGCCAGTCCAAGTCCCAGCTACTCTGCTTCTGATCCAGCTTCCTGCTAATACACCTTGGGAGGCAGAGAATGATGGGCCAAGTGCTTGAGATCCGGTCACTCATGCGAGATACAGGATGGATTTCCTGGTTCCCGACTTAGACCTGGCCCAGCCCTGTGGCCATCTGGGAAATGAACCAGCAGATGAAAGATCTCTCTCTCTCTCTTTTTATTTTGTACTTACTTTTTATTTATTTGAAAGGCAGAGTTACAGAAAGAGAGGGAAGAGCAGAGAGAAAGATAGATCTCCCATCCCTAATTCACTTCCTAAATGTCCTCAGTGGCTGGGGCTATGCCAGGCCGATGCCAGGAGACTGGAGCTTCCTCCAGGTCTCCCACATGGGTGCAGGGGCTCAAGCGCATCCACTGCTTTCCCAGGTGCATTAGCAGGAACCTGGACTGGAAGTGAAGTAGCCGGGTCTTGAACTGGTGCCCACAGGGGATGCCAGCATTGTAGGCAGTGCCTTTACCCACTACACCACAATGCCAGCCCCTCAGACTTCTTCTAAGTCCTGGTGACCAATTTAATGCTCTGACTGTGTCTCCTTCCCATCTCCAAGTCTCTCTTCCTTGCTTCAGTGACTTAACCAATGCCAAGCTTTCTCCTCCTCCCCACCGTTACACTCACTGTTTCCTCCACATGGAAGACTCCTTAGATTTGGTTTGCCATGACCTATTATGTCATTTAATTCTCCACTGAAATGTACCCTCCATAGAGAAATCATTTCTGATCACAGTTTCTAAATCAGGCCCATTTCTCCTTACCTGATTTCCTACCTAACAGTGTCACATGGGTCTGCAAGAGTACTTAAGAAATTCTTGGGGCCGGCGCTGTGGCTCACTTGGTTAATTCTCCGCCTGCAGTGCTGGCATCCCATATGGGCGCTAGGTTCTAGTCCCGGTTGCTCCTCTTCCAGTCCAGCTCTCTGCTGTGGTCCGGGAAGGCAGTGGAGGATGACCCAAGTTCTTGGGCCCTGCACCCGCATGGGAAACCAGGAGGAAGCACCTGGGTCCTGGCTTCGGATCAGCACAGTGCTCTGGCTATAGCAGCCATTTGTGGGGGTGTCTAACTCTGCCTGTCTAATAAAAAAATTCTGTGGAAAATGCAATTAAAACATAAGTTTATTTTTATTAAAAAACACTTTGAAATGCATACATATTAAATCTTTTTAAACATTCACAGAAATTTTATATTATGCATGCTTTTTGAAATTTTTGCAATAAATATCTTTTAATTCCATTTTCCATAAATTTTTTAAAGAACCCTCATATTTACTCTTTAAAAATCCTCTATCTGAGCTGCCAGTGTGTAACGTTCATCATGGCAGCATGTGGATACCATTGGCCACAATCACCTACTACAGCAGCACCTAACACATGGTCAAGGTCAACTACATGTAGGTTGAATAGCTGAATAGATCGTTAGTGAGCAGTGGATATGTGGGCACTTTTTACTAAGCGCCTTCTGCTAGGAAAATGGTCACAACTGCGTGAGGCCAGCACATGGTGAGCATTCTGACTATCTGAAAAACTGTGCTGAAGAGCATACAGGCTCTGCTGTGACAACTGGAAATTTTAACTGCTCCACACAGAGAGAGGGTCTTCCCCATCATGCGTAGAATTTTTTTTAATTTACTTATTTTATTTGAAAGGCAGAGTTACAGAGAGGCAGAGAGAGAGAGAAAGGTCTTCCATCCGTTGGTTCACGCCCCAGATGGCCGAAACGGTCCTCCAGGGTCTCCCACGTGGGTGCAGGGGCCCAAGCACTTGGACCACCTTCTACTGCTTTCCCAGGCCATAGCAGAGAGCTGGATCATAGCAGCAGAGCTGGGTTGAACTGGCACCCATATGGGATGCCTTTACCGCAGGCAGTAGCTTTTCCCACTACACCACAGCACCAGCCCCTCATGTGTAGTCTTGATGAGACTTGAGGGTCCCTTGCCATCCTACTCCATCACACTATTCTTTTTCTCTCACTCTCTTTCCCCTGTCCCCTCTCCTCTTTGCCTCCCCCTTTCCCTTTGCTCCCGTCTCCCCCAAGCTAAGAGGTATAATAATGACACAAACCTGAATAATGAATTGTTTTTTCTTTCAGGATTTTGTGCATTGACTAAAAGGATTGGAAATATTTGAAGACCTCTATTCCAGCAGCCACACTGAGCCCACCAGGGTTCCCAGGCCTAATACTCTAGCTTTCCATCATGCTACAGGCAATCCAGTATCCCTCCAATAAATAACTTTCTCTCTTAAGTTAGTCAAATTGATTTCTGTTGCTTACAGCCAAAGAACATTATTACACTGCTTTATTTTCTCTATAGATTAATATGAAATAAAAACTTTCTTAGGGACAGCATTATGGTGTAGCAGGTAAAGCAGCCACCTGTGACAATGACATCCCATTCATGTCCCAACTACTCCACTTCCAATCTAGCTCTCTGCTAATGACCTGGGAAAGAGACAGAGAATGGTGTAAGTACTTGAGCCCCTGCACCCATGTGGTAGACCAAGATAAAGCTCCTGGCTCCTGGCTTCAGTCTGGCCAGCATCAGGGGAGTGAACCAGCAGATGAAAAATCCTTTCTCTCTCTCTCTCTCTCTCTCTCTCTCTCATTCTAACTCTGACTTCCAAATAAATAAATAAATCTTTAAAAAAAGAGAGAGAAAAATCACCTGTCAGTTTCCAAGTATCACTTTTTCTTGGACTCTCTGATTTCTTTTCCAGACTCTAAATCTTCTCTAGTATCTATACTGTTCAGGATTTAGATATAATAAATAGGCTTCTTGGCCCCACTGGTTAAGGGTTTATTGCCAATTATTTTTTGTTAAGATTAATTGAAAGGCAGAGTGACAGAGAGAGAGGGAGAGACAAACAGGAAGATCTTCCATTCACTGGTTCACTCCCCCAATTGGCTATAAGGGTCGGGGCTGGGCCAGGCCAAAGTCAGAACTCTGGGAACTCCATCCCCATTTCTCATGTGGGTGGCAGGGTCCCAAACAATTAGACAATCTTCTGTTGCTTTCCCAAATGCATTAGCAGGAAACTGGATGGGAAGCAGAACAGCCAGAACTCCAAATGGGACTCAAACCAGAGTTCTGATATGAGATACAGGTTCACAAGTGGCAAGCTTAATCCTTTGTGCCACAGCGCCAGCCTTAATTATCAATTCTTTAGGAAGAACTAGGCTAATACAAAAACCCACTGTATATCCTTTATATTTAGTTATATTTAATTAGGTACTATGAATGCGACAGTTTTCATTAAAATGAACTACAGAGAACTTTTAACTGAAAACAATTTGCATAATATATTTCTAAAATAAACACCCCTAAAATAATACTGCGTTTTTTCATCAGTTTATCTTTGTAAAAATGTATTTAATGCATATAGATAAAGGCCCAAAAGGATAAATGCAAACTAAAGGCAATAATTATGTCGAAGGAAAATCTTGGAAGTCAAGGGTGATTGTAGCTTAACCTGCCATGTGAACTTAATAATAAAAACATACTTTTAATAGGAAAAAGTTCCAAAGCATGTTAAGGGTATAAAGGTTTTGTTTTGTTTTGTTTTGTTTTGTTTTGTTTTGTTTTGTTTTTGACAGGCAGAGTGGACAGTGAGAGAGACAGAGAGAAAGGTCTTCCTTTTGCCATTGGTTCACCCTCCAATGGCCGCTGCGGCCAGGGCGCTGCAGCCGGTGCACCGCGCTGATCCGATGGCAGGAGCCAGGTACTTCTCCTGGTCTCCCATGGGGTGCAGGGCCCAAGGACTTGGGCCATCCTCCACTGCACTCCCTGGCCACAGCAGAGAGCTGGCCTGGAAGAGGGGCAACCAGGACAGAATCCGGCGCCCCGACCGGGATTAGAACCTGGTGTGCCGGCGCCACAAGGCGGAGGATTAGCCTAGTGAGCCGCGGCACTGGCCCTAAAGTTTTGTTTTAACCTCCTTTAAAAATATGCAAGTATTTTTGGGATGGATATGGAAGCCGCACAGGATGATACAATTGTAAAGGCTTGTGTGGAGTATCATGATTACAGGATGAACAACCCTTTCATTCTCCCAGAATTACTGCTTAGCTTACACAATGGTGTCCGTTGGGTTAAAAAACTGTATTTCTTCCTAACTTGGGCAGAATAAACACTGTTAGTACATAAAGTCTGGGGGATTCAGACAATTCTTGCAGTGTCTGGACATTGACAATATCTGGCCTATCTAGCATTCATTTAACAAGTATTAATTGCTCACTTACTGAGTATGAGCTCTGGGGTGGTTCCTAAGTATCCTATAATAACTATAATAAGTGAGGCACAATCCTGGCCCTCAAATACCTTTGCATCTCATCAGGCAGACAGACAAGTAAGCAGGTGATGGAAATGCAGTATTAAGTTACAGATGGGAACTAGAAGCAGCTGTGTGTGTGCACAGGTGGGGCACCTAATTCAGCTTCAGGAGTCCAAGAAAGTTTTTCCAGAGGGCAGTACAAAGGATAAAACAAGCACCAAAAGTGATAGAGTACTAACGCGTTCTATGATTGGAAGCACTTTCCTTTCTTCACACTGTATAACAGAATGGTGTATCTTAAGTTAGTGACATCTTAGAAATTTGTATTCCTTAAATAAAAGGTTTCTTTGGGGGAAAAAAATCACTAACATGTGAAGTCACATTCCTTTAAAGTGTAAAGAAATCAAAAACTAATCAAATTACTTTGGCACTTGGCCCACTGAAAATGTAAACAAACAAACAAACAAAAAAAGAGTGGGTTTGCTATAAAAGCAAGTTAGGCTTTCTCTTATTGTCTCTCTGGTGGGTCTCTGACCCATGTAATGACTTTCCCTTTCCACAATGGGATGATACAGCAAGAAGGCCCTCACCAGATGCAGCTGCCTTAATCCTAGACTTCCCAACCTCCAGAACTATAAGAAAGAAATCTTCGTTCTTTATGTATTACCCAGTCTCAGATTCTGCTATAGCAGCACCCAAAGGTCTAAGACAGTCAACCAAATTGAATTGCAGCTTTGTGTACTGGAGTCCACATCAGGTTCCCCCCGCCCCAAAGAAACCTTTTAATTAAGGAATACAAGCTTCATAGATTTCATAAGTACAGCTTTAGGAATACAGTGATTCTTCCCACTATGCCCTCCCACCCACACTCTCATCCATCCTCCTCCTGCCTGTCCCTTCCCAGTCCCATTCTTCACTAAAATTCATTTTCTTTAACATTGTACACAACCAACTCTATACTAAGTAAAGATTTCAACAATTTGCATAAACACACAAAAACTTTTTGAGACAAGTTTTACAGTATAAATCCTTGAAGACAGAGGTCCTGCATAGGAAGTTAGTGCAAGTTAGACACCTATTGTTAACAATTAACACCCTTATGTATGATGTCAGTGATCACCCGAGGCTCTTGACATGAGTTGCCTAGACTAGGAAGCCTTTAGAAACCACAAACTCTGTCAGTATTTAGACAAGGCCATAAGCAAAGTGGAAGTTCTCTCCTTCCTTCGGAGAAAAGTACCTCCTTCTTTGATGACCACTTCTTTCCGCTGGGTCTCATCCACAGAGATTATAAGGCCTTACTTTAAAATAGACATAGGGGGGTGCATTTTGTACAATAGTTAAATTGACACTTGGGACAGCCACATCCCATGTCAGAATGCCTGGTTTGAGTTCCAACAATTATATTTTCTGATCAAGCTTCCTGTTAATATGTGCCTTGGGAAGCAACAGATGATGGCTCAAGTGCTTGGGTCCTGGCCACCTACTTAGGAGATCCAGTAGTCTGACTCCTGGCCTCAATCTGGCCCAGCCCTGGCTATTGCAGGCATTTAAGGATTGAACTAGCAGATTGAAGATCTCTCGACTTGTCTGTCTCTACCCCTCTCTCTCTCTCTCTCTCTCTCTCTCTCTGCCTTTCAAATAAAATGGTAATCTTAAATAAATATGAAATAAAATCGGCTTCAGGGTTGGCATTTACTTATTTGTTAAGATGCTGGTTAGGATCCTTACATCTTGTATCATAATACCTGTCTTCAATTCCCAGATCCACCCCCTGATTCTAGCTTCTGGTTAAGTGCAAACTTTGAGAAGCAACAGTGATGGATCAAGTAATTGGGTTCCTGTCACCCATATAGGAGACCTGGATTTAGTACCTGGCTCTGGGCTTCAGCCACCCAGTTGTTGCATGCATTTAGGAGTCAACCAGTAGATGGGAGTGCTCGCTTGCTCGCTCTCTCTCTCTCTCTCTCTCTCCTTCCCTCCCCTCCCTCCCTCTCTCCCTCTCAAATTAATTAATTTAAAGATAAAAATAGGCATATTGTGGACTCTGTGATTAAAAGATCAAGTGATTATGTTCCTGTCAGTGACATGGATTGAAGTACTTGTCCCTAGTCCCCAGCTTCAACCTTAGCTGGGGGCTGTTGTAGGCATTTGGAAAGTGAACCAGTGGATGCGAGTTCTCTCTCTCTCTGTTTCTGTGTCTCTGTGTGTGTATGTGTGTGTGTGTGTGTCTGCCTCTCAAATAAATTAGTTAAATAAAATTAAACATCAAAAATATTGAAAATAACTACAGCTACAGCAACTTGTCAATGAAAGCACAATATATTGGACTGGTGTTGTGTGGTACAGTATGTTAAGTCCCAGCTTGGTTCAAATCCCAGCTGCTCTGCTTTCAATCCAACTCCCCATTAATACTCCAGAGAAAACAGTGGAGGACAACCCAAGTACTTGATCCCCTGTCACCAACTTGGGAGACCCAAATGGATTTCCTGAATCCTGGCTTCAGCCTGGCCCAGTCCTGGCCAAGGCAGTCACTTGGGGAGTGAACCAACAGGTGCAGAATCTCTGTGGGTGTGTCCCTGCCTCCTTCTCTCTCTGTCACTCTGCCTTTCAAACAAATCTTTTAGGAAATATATAAATTGTGACTGTAATAGCATAAAAAATGGGGTAGGGGAAAGTGTGAAGCTTTTGTATAGAATTGAAGTTCTCAGCTTAAATTAGAATATTGTGACTATGAGATGCTTTCTGTAAGCCCTTTAATAAACATAAAGTAAAAAATCTAGTAGAGGTGAGCATTACAGTGCATTGAGTTGACCACTGCATGGGACAGCTGAACCCCATATCAGAGTGCCTGGGATAGAGTCCTACCTCTGCGTCTGATCCAGTTTTCTGTTGTTTCATTCCCTGGGAAACAGCAGATGATGGCCCAAGATGGAACTCCATTGGAGTTCCTGGCTCAGCTCTGGCTGTTGTGG